AACCTGATAATTTTCAACATTCTGTTTGTGCTTGTTCAGATAGTTGATAATAGAAAAAACAAAGCTACACACTGACTTTTCTATCCTTCCTCTATCTATGTAGAGCTTATGGAATCAAGATCCAGGGAATTCACAGGTATCTCTTTGTTTCTGTTTTCAAGTACAATAATGGATAATAATGTCCACTGTCCTGACTTCACTCAGTCCCCAGGGGTCTGTGCCAGGAGCCAGATGCTCTGGTTTCAGTGACATTGATATTGTCTCATTCTTGCTGGAATTTTTCCAGAACTGAAACATATAACCAGAGCTGCATTCCTGAACACCTCCATCCACCTTCCCCTATCCCCCTTCTCCCCAGCACACTCACATTCACACCTGAGATCACTACTTGAATCCTCAAAAATCCCCTCTTTGGGTCTGAACCTCTTATCTTTTCCCATAAACCTGTTCCATCACCTGTGGTAGGCAGAATAATGCCCTCATGCCCTCCCAGCCTCCCCAAAAGGTATCCGTGTCCTAATTTCCAAAACCTGTCAGGTTACACAGCAAAGGCGCATTAAGGTTGTAGATGGAATTAAGGTTGCTAATCAGCTGACCTGAAGGAGGTGCGCATCCTGGATTATCCAGGTGCCCAGTATAAACATGAGGATTCTGAAAAGTGAAAGAGGGTGGCAGAAGAGAGCTAGAGAAACAGCAGCATGAGAGCACACGGCTTGGTGTTGCTGGCTTTGCAGATGGACGGAGGGACCTTGAGTTGAGGAACGTGGGCTACTTCTGAGGTGAACAGGCCAGGAAACCGGTCTTCCCCTATAGCCTCCGGAAAGAACTGCCTGCTGACGCTGTGAATTTTGCCCAGTGAGACCCATGTCAGACTTGGAACGTACAGAACTGTAAGATAGTACGTTTGTGTCTTTTTTTTATTTGGAGTCACGAGATTTGTGGTAACGTCTTACAGTAGCAATAGGAAGCTAACACATCATGTCATTCTCCTAACCCCGTCTCGGTGCCCCTCACTTACCACTCCTCGAGCTCTTGCTGCCCTGCTTGCGTGTCCTAACCCCATAGGTGGCCATGACAGCAGGGGATTGGCTGATTTCTTGCATGGTCTGTCACCCTGATGTTGAGACCCACCCCTGGGGGAACCCTTACTGCTGCTTCTTGTTGCTTTTTTCAGTATTCATTTTATTAAAACCTGACCTTTGCCACAATAACTCTTCCAAATGTCACAACCCCTTAAACCCCCAGTCCTGTCTTCACCTCCTTACATTTTAGCAAATAACTTTACTGATAGGGTTAACACCATCTGTCTTGAGATCCCTCCACTTTCATCTCAGGACCTCTGTGACCTCCCAGTCACCTGTTTCCAGGTTTCCATCTCTCATCCTCAGGGTAACATTTGACAGCGTCAGTACAACTTTCCTTTAACTTTTTTCCACGCCTTTGTGACATTACACTCATTTTCTTATCTTTTCAATCCTCCCCACCTGCCAGTCAGCCACACTTCTTTTCGGCTCCCGCCCCCCAAATCTAAGCCTTCCTTAGGTTCTGTTCTCAAACCTCGGATATTCTCTTGGCAGTTGTAAGCTCCACAACTTCACAGATCACCTAGTGAAAGGATTCCTTTACATCCGACTTTTGTGCCTTTTCAGGCCCTGGACATTCTCCTGAACATCACCTTCTTTTAGCCCCAACACATGGAGAGAGAAGAGTCTTTCTGTAAACATATCTAGCATCTCCTCAGATGCAGGAGGCAAGAGCCTTGTTTTCTGGACACCCCTGGCCCTCCTGTGGGCTGGGAAGGGAGGAAGAAGCAGGGCTGTGGGCAGGGCACCAGGTCCACCTGAGGTCAACACAGGTTCTCCCCGTTCCCTGTTTCGGCCCCTCCAGGATTTATGAGAAACGAGACAGGTTAGGCAAAAGGGCTTATGTTTCATTCTTCTAGGGTTTTGGTCAATTTTGTCCCAGTTACATTCTTACTGGGTGGGAAAACTGGCTCTGAAACTTTTCAAAGGGGGGGCAAATAGGAGGTATAGTTGCCTTGTTCTGAATGGCTTCTGAGGATCACCTGGCCAATTTTCTCCTCTGGCAGTAGATACTTTTACATCATTTGCTTCAGGTTTTTGTAAGCAGGGGGAGGTTCCGAATTTGGATAGGTGTAAAGGGCCTGAGGAGGCCTAAAGCTTCAAGTAGAGGTGTCAGGTGTCATTGAGAGAGAATTCCATCCTTGTGGATGGCCATGAGTCCTCACCTGAAGTGCTGGAGGTGGAGTCCCCTCCTGAAGCACAGCAAAGGAACTGTTTCCAAGGAGGCTCGGATCTATTCCCCACTCTCCCCAGTGCCTTGTGGACCATGTGCTGCAGAATCCATCTAGATAAGGTATCCAGGACTTCGCTTATTGAGACAAGCAGCCGGCCATCTTGAAAACTTACTGCAAGAAAATATTTAGGAAGTAATATGAAGCCTTTCCTTGGGCGTTACTGATATGAAGACATTTGGGTCCTTAGAATGTGCCAGTTACTTCTCTGCTTTCTGTATTCAGTCAACTGTAAAACTTAGGGTTCGGGTTGTGGCTTTGATTGGTTCCGATGATTTTCCTGGTGTGATGCTCTATGAGTGAAAATGTTGCCCACCATCAAACTTGTCAGGCTCATTGATCTATATTGGAAAGTTCATGCAAGCATATATAACGGATATCATATTAAAACACAGGATGCTCAAAGATGGGTACGTTACGGTCTTTACCTCAAGGATTTCAAAATCTTAGACTGGGGCGGGTTTTTGTTTTCTTTTAATAATACTACTGTGATTGCCATTTTTCTGGCCTACTCACTTGTGCCAAAGGAAAGTAAGTTTTGTACTAATTCAGGTGTACATAGTTAAGTTTATCCTGAAAGGTTCAGCCAGCACCTGTCTTTCTTTGGCAGCTGAACAGTATGGAAACTCATGATTTGGTGGCTTACAACAGTGCCCGCATTGGGACCAGAGATGATTATGCACAGCCTATGGAAGGACATGGGCTGTAGCTGCCACAGATGGGAAACAGCAGCTTAGGTTCTAGAAATAGGAAACACCTACAGAAGGACATGAAGAGACTGTGCTGAAAGCACGAGGAACTAAAGGGACAGCTGTTTATGGTGACAAAGAGAAGGGCAGGAGTGTGGGACAGAGAGTGGAGCTGGGATATTAACAAGAATGAACACCAGGTAGATGATAAGAGTTGTAAAATACTGTGATTGAGTTTTTCAGTAGGCTGTGTGGAATCTCCTGATCTGCAGAATCTGGAGATCTGAAACCACAGTCAGTACAGGCTCATCTTCCTGAAGTAATTTAGATGTGGTCACCTGACAGAAGGGAGGTCACTTTTTACAGCAGAGGGGTTTTTCAGAGTGTCTCTGGTTCTACAAATGACTAGAAAAGGATACTAATAGCAGCGTCTTTTATTCTTTTTCTTGGTTCTTAATTTAAAATAATGTAAAAGAAATACTTAAAAGTCAGTAAATCCCATGTGAATGAACTATTTTCATATTTCTGTGTTACCTTCCAGCTCTCATCCAGTTCACCCACATTTGTTGTGTAGTTGAAATGATATTGTTGGTTTGCGTGTGGGTATGGGGAGTTGTAGGACCTCAGATGTAGAGGGATGCGTTAATCACACTTCAGAGTGCATGGCTTGTCATCACTGGTCAGAGCTGGGCCCTTCGTTATTTATTCATGAGTTCCTTTTTATCCTCATTCCCCACTCCCATTTCTCTCCCCGCTCCACTCCATTCTATTGTGTTCAATGTGTATAGGCTTTTGTCTGGATGTGGCCTTGAAAAATGTGTGTAGTTGTTTTGTGGACAGCTTTTTAAAATATACATAATGATACCATTCTGTACATCTCATTCTGTTTCTCTCGATGTAAACATGTTGCAGTGTATACTTGGGCTTGTTATGCTCTGGGATTCTAGGCAGTAATTAGATATATTTTGCTGACCCTCCTGTTCCCCGCTGCCACAGATACTGTTGTTCTGTATACCCTCCAGCAGGTTACTTCATGATATCTCCTGGGAGAGGATGTATATCTGTGGGTTAGTTTGCTGACTCATATGGGCTACATATGCTTAATTTGCTGGGATGGCTGTACCAGTTTACATCGCTAGTAGCAGTTCACATCTTTGCCAACACTAGAATTATCCAGCTTTCTGATTTTTGCCATGCTAATAGATGTAAAATGGTGCTGCATCTTAATTTGCATTTTTCTGATCTCATACAAGTTAGAGCATCTTTTCATAGTTAATTCAATTTGGTACTTTTTGTCACTTAATTTGTATCCATTGTTATATGTCTCTCTGGTTTCCAGTGTCTGGGTTGATACATTTAATCATAACAATTGGGTTGAATCATATGTAGCTGCCAAACTATCAGGTTGACCAGTTTGACCCTTAAAAATAGCAAACTCTGTGGTCCAACTTAATGTGTTGTTGAACATATAGGTCTTTACAAGTTTTCACCATTATAAATAATACTGCAGTACCATATGCTGTGCATAGCATTTTTCTTCTTTTGAATTTTTCCTTAGGATAAATAAGGGAAAGATTACTGAGTCAAAGAACGAACATTTTTATAGCTATTGTTACATATTGACAAATCACCTTCTAAAAGGGCTGTACTGATTTACATTATGCATCATTATTCATCATTTATATCATGACTGTACTAGTTTTACTTTAACTTCGTCTTTATACATTATCATTTAAACGAATACCTGAATAACTATAAAGCATAACCTCATTGTTATTTGTACTATTTGATCACAGTTAACATTAATCATTTATTCAAGTATACATGGATGAACAATATGTTTTTATGAGTTTGGTCTATTTGTACATTTAGTCCACTTTTCTTTTAATCTTTTTTTTTCAAAGTCAATTTGAAAGTGGGTTTTAATATACTGTAGATTACCCTATCCTCAATTTCTGAAAATGAAATCATTCACTTATAAACATTTTATTCTTCAGATGACAATCAAAACAAAACACATGATAAAAAAGAAAAGAAGATGGTGGTTCAGAAGCCCCAGGGTACTATGGAATACACTGTAAGTATAAACAGGTAGAATGAAAGTTTGTTAATACCACTAGATTTACATAATGTTTCTCCCTGACACATCCTTCCCCTTAGTCATTTCTCTTCCTTCCTTATTTTTTCCCTGGGTATACCTGTTACTTGAATTACCGTTTGATATGCCAAGGACGACCAATTTTAGGTCTCCATCCCAGACATGCTTTCTGAGTTCCCAAACCAAAGATTCAGCTGTCTACTCAGACATTAACTTAGACCTCTGTGCTTGGTCTTTGTTCAAGAAGCAGTGGCTCCATCATCCATACATTTCTACAAGCCAGAACCTTAGCCTTAACATCTTCTTCCCATTACTCTCCATGTTCAATCTTCCTTTCCGTGACCATCCAGCAAGTCTAGGCCAGATCCCTTCATTTTTCTCTCTCATGGAATCTTTACATAGTTTATCTCCGTTTAACAATATTGATTCACTAGTGTGATTGTTATATCTAGATTGTGCCTTAATTCATATACCCACAGAGAGAGACTAGATTCCTCTTTGGTCAGCACTCTGTTTCTGGTGCTTGCAGGGTATAGGCCTCCATATGGTTGAATCAGCACATGAATAATGCATCGCATGTGTCCGTTACTGCACTTCCACGTTAATGTGCTCATCTCTCTCATTGCGCCATGAGCTCCTGGAGCCCAGGAGCTGTGTCTACTTATCCTAGGCCTGGCGTAAAGTGGGCACTCAGTTATAGATCTGTTTTAATTCACTTTGAGCCAGCATTGCTGAAGAGTGATCTCTGACTTCTAGAAAGAAATTAAGTGCTGTTGGCATTGCCCCTGTGTTTTCCTCATGTTTATTTCTTTTCTACTCATTATCTGTGTGCCGTGCCAGGCTCTATATAAGGCAAGCAGCAAGGCCTGTCCCTGCCTGCCGTTTCTTCTGGAATGGTGAATCCTCTCCAAGCTTCTGTAGCATCACACTGAAGAGCCCTGGCACCAGCATTTCATGCTCAGGGCTCTGTGAACATCCCTAGGCATCTTTCTATGGTTTATAGGCTTGGTCCTTTCCAGAAAGGATTTGGGGGTGATTATATATCTCACATTACCGCTGTCTACAATATATTGTTGATCCCCATAACACCTAGCACAGTTCCTTACCTCCTAGAAGATACTGAGGAAGTGTTGGATTATTTATCATTAATAACAATATTAATTCTAAATCCATGTGTGTATCCTACAGTGTGATTCACGAGCCCCTCCAAGGAAATGAGAAGTATCTTTGCTAGGAGATGCTTCACATAGCATGTACTAAATAATGCAGTGAGAGTAAAAAAAATCAACCCCAAATTAATTCATATAAACAGGTGATCAAATTAGTAATTTAGATCTATCCACCTGATTGATTTATGTTATGGAGATTAGTTTTAGTTGGCAAGTTACTCTGTGTACTTGTCGTCGGAAATAAAAGGTGATCCATAACTTCGTGTTTAGAGAACCATGACCGGAACCCCTTACCTGATTGCTTACATTGCTCCAGAGCTGTGGATGTTCAAGCATTCTGTTTAGTTTCAAGCATGTATTGATACCAGTATCCCTCCCAGGGTCTGTAACTTGGTTCCATATGTATGTCTTATCCTTGTGTAATAACGGCAGATTGTTAAAATTTTTCTCCTTTCCTGAAACCCCTATACATAGTATCTTCAAATGTTTGTGTAAAAGTATGAAGCCAATTTATTGATCACTTGCCATGAAGTAAGTGCTCTTGAATTAGAAATTACAATTATGTATCTCAATTTGGATGAAGAAACTGAAGTACAGAGAAGTTAAACAAGTGACCCAAGATCACACAGCTGGCAAGTGGCAGATTTGGAATTCAGGTCCAGCAGTCTGGCTCTGGTCTGTATTATCAATCTGTGTCTTATACTGACGCTAAACCCTGAAAACCCCCGGATTTGAATATGTTATGTAAATGTATAATATTTGAAAAAAATACATTTTAAAAAAGTTTTTTCACTTTAGTACAGGTGATTTTGCTCAGGGTAAGGTAGGGGCATAGGTTAAGTTCTCAATGATTTTTTAAAAATATACGTATTTATGTCTTGTTCTAGAAATACGTTGAGGTAATTTTAATGCAGTCTGTAATTATGAACTTGGTTAGCCTGAGACAGTTCATCTAGTTGGTGGGGGCTTTTTTGGTTTTTTTGGCGGTACGCGGGCCTCTCACTGTTGTGGCCTCTCCCGTTGCGGAGCACAGCCTCCGGACGCGCAGGCTCAGCGGCCATGGCTCACGGGCCCAGCCGCTCCGTGGCACGTGGGATCCTCCCAGACCGGGGCACGAACCCGTGTCCCCTGCATCGGCAGGCGGACTCTCAACCACTGCGCCACCAGGGAAGCCCTAGTTGGTGGGTTTTTGACACTTAAGGGCAGTGAGTGGTAAGTTGAATTCTACATGTGTACCTTTGCCCCTGTCCACAACCTCCTGCAGCCACCTCAAATTTCCACCTATAATTCGAGGCTCCCCTGGTGGAGCCAGTTCTGCTTACAGGGTCAGCCACCAGTGTTGACCCAGGGCTATAGTTGGGAACTTCTCAGTGACATTCGCCAAAATGACCTCCCGCTAACAAGTTCCATCCAGTGACCCTGGAGAGGGAGTCTGTCCTGGGATATTGACCTTACCAGAGGCAGCAGACTTCTTTTTGGGTGGAGCTTTTTCACTGAAGTTTCACATCTTCTTACTGCCCTTTTTATCCCTATTCCCCTTCTATTAGAGAAGGAAAGAAACATGTACACCTGAGACATATCACAAGTTTTATAGATTTAGAGAATAACACTAATTTGGCTGACCATGGGAAATTGTCATTTTTAATGTCAGTGAACAATTTTTGTAGCTAATCCGAAGTTCTTTTAGATTTCCCTGCCTTTCACTTTTTTCATTCATCAAATATTTAAGTGCCTTCTATGTGTCAGGCACTGTGGGGAAAAAGGCCATTAACAGGCCACAATCCAGGAGCCTAAAGTGCAGTAAAGAAACAGGCAAATAGACAGACAGAAAAATGCAAAGAGAAAAAGTAGTCCTATTACCCCTAGGAGTGGTACTGTCTGTAATATTTCTTTTCTTCTTAGCTTTATGTTATACCTCACGCGCCCTCTACTCCATACACCTAAGTTGTGCCAGAGTAAGTTTAGAAATCTGTTAGTGGACAGTGAAATTTGAAGATAAGGGAGTCCAGAAATGAATAATATCTAAGACTTCTTTTGTTAAGAATTGAGAATGTATTCGCTTTTTTCATAATACATTTGGATGTATGTGTTACATTTTTATTCGCTCATATCACAAATAGATTAATGTTGACTATCAAGAGGAAGGTTTTGTTTGCTTTTTGCTTTGTGTATTGAATCTTGTTTGTTTGATTATTCTAGGCTGGAAGCCAGGACACCCTAAACTCCATAGCACTGAAATTTAACATCACTCCCAATAAACTAGTGGAACTGAATAAGCTTTTCACACATACTATTGTTCCAGGCCAGGTAATGATCTTCTTGTTGAATTTTACTTTAGAAATTTTGCATTTATTTTTGTTGCCATTTTTAATGACTCACTCTTAGTGTCACAGGATTATCATCAATGATAATGTACATTGGTTCAGTCTTCCATTTAGATCCAAGACTACTGAAAGCATCCTGGTACTTATGAACTGTTCAGAGATGAATGCTTTGCAAATGATTAACACAGTTGCAAACTATCATTTGTGTTATAGATGTTTCCATCAAGAGAAGTTAAGTTAATGTAACTTTTTTCCCTGTAGAATTTCATACAGATATTCTTAGAATATTTAATTTAGAATTGCAAGTTTCAGTTTAGTCCACTCCTGGGGTCCATTGTGGTCATTGTTTTGTTTTAAATTAGGCAAAATTTTTGTCATTTTGGTCTTGATTTGATACCATGACAAAAGAAGGCAATCCAGCCAAAGGTGGAGACATTCAGCAGGACCATCAAGAAAAGCCTACAGACACACAAAAAGACGCTCAACATTGCTAATTATTAGAGAAATGCGGATCAAAACAGCAATGAGATATCACCTCACACCAGTCAGAATGGCTGTCATTGAGAAGTCTACAATAATAAATGCTGGAGAGGGTGTGGAGAAAAGGGAACCCTCCTACACTGTTTGGTGGGAATGTAAATTGCTGCAGCCACTATGAAGAACAGTATGGAGGTTCCTTAAAAAACAGAGCTACTGTATAATCCAGCAGTCCTTCCCTTGGGTATATATCCAGAAAAAACAAAAACTCTAATTCAGAAGGATACATCACCAGTGTTCATAGCAGCACTATTTACAATAGCCAAGACATGGAAACAACAACCCAAGTGCCCATACACACAGTGGAATATTACTCAGCCATAAAGAAGAATGAAATATTGCCATTTGCAGCAACATGGATGGACCTAGAGAATATTATACTTGGTGAAATAAGACAGAGGAAGACAAATACTATATGATATCACTACACATGAAATCTAAAACATAATGCAAATGAGTCTATATACAAAACAGAAATAGCCTAACAGACGTAGAAAACAAACTTATGGTTACCAAAGGAGAAAGGGAAAGAGAGAGAGACAAATTAGGAGTATGGGATTAACAGATACAAACGACTATACATAAAATAGATAAGCAGTAAGGATTTACCATATAGCACAGGGAACTATATTCAATATCTAGAAATAATCTATAGTGGAATATAATCTGAAAAATATATATATAACTGAACCACTTTGCTGTACACCTGAAACTAACACAATACTATAAATCAGTGATATTTCAATTTTTAAAAAAAGCCACACATTTTTTCCCAGGCTTTTAGTACTTTGTTAAACTAAATGAAATTGACATGTCATATAATTTTGCCATTCTCGGTTAATCCAGCAATCTTTTAAATACCTTCTGCATAAGATATTCTTATGTTTCTACTTGAAAACTACACTTAGCCAATAAATGTAAATGGCCCAGTCATAGGCAGATCCTTGCTGAGGCCAAGTTTCCAGTCCCATCTATAGAACTACTTGGTTGCCATGAGCACATTCCGGTTCCATTGCTAACTTACTAGACCATGTTCCTGCATCTCTACATTATAGTGACATTTTTATTCAGGATGTATACTGCTTCTTCTAAGTATAACTTCATTCAGGCAGTGGTGGTATTCTTTGCATTTCTTTCACGGGCAGCAAATGAAACCAACAGACCATAAATTGACCAGTTTGTACTATCATGCTTTTGGTGTTTATGTCCTTGTCAAAAGGAGATATTACTATATTGCTGATACCAGGCAATTGAGGGGAAATATGAGTTAAAACTTTTTCAAAATTAATAAATTTTTATCTCTAGGAAAATTAGATTCCAGGCACTTTTATTGGGTTTCTTATAATCTGGGGTATTGCTGCATAATGTGTAACTGACCCATAGCAGTGAACCTAGGCTTACTAATGCAAGGCTGAAGACTGTAGTCACTGGGACTTAGTAAAATCATTTAGGGTGATTCCTTATTCGTTTACTAAGTGAACGGGATTAAGGTCCAGTAGCTAATAGGAGGTATAGGAACTGTTTTAATATGCCTAGTTAAGGGTAAAAATATAGAAATAGGTGCCCCAAAGCTTCGTTTCCTTTGACCCTTTAGTAACTGTTTGACTTGGGTAAGTCACTTCCTTTTTTGACCCTGGTTTCCTTATCTCTGAAATATGAGGGGTTGGGCTGCATTATCTCAGATGTCCCTTCTAGCCTTTACTGTGCTGTGTAGCCCTCATATAACTAAACAGTTATGTGCTGTTAGTTGTCCCAGCATCTAGCTCCACTCATGATTTTTCTGGCAAAGATAAGGAATTGAGAAGAGTGATCCAGACTCACTTCCATGTTGAAGTAAGACGTATTCTGACTGAGCTTCCCTGTGTTCAACTGTTACTTCTGTCTACAGTGCAGTGAACTGTTTATGCATAGGAATTATCCCTTTGATTTGACATTTAGAGTGTCAGACAATAGAATCTCACTCTATGTTGCCTAATGCCTGTCAAGAGCTCAGGTGCAAAAAAAAATATTAATGGAGAATTGTTTGGAAGAAATGACATCTATCCGTCCCTCTAGCCTAGATACATATGATACATAAGAGCTGTATACTAAGACCGTGTAATTTTAGCCTTCTGTAAATTGCTTTTATGGAACTCCAAACTTCTGATATTTTCCATTGACCCATTTTGAAATTGTTATAAAGAACAGTCCTCCAAACTGTTTATTGTATTTACTGTCAATGTGTCATCAAGGACAAAGAGTTCACTGTGAGACACTTTTTTTTTTAATGAGACTTCATGGGAGAATACTTGTACTTCTAAGAAACTGGTTTGTTTTTATTTTATGAACATTGAATTCTGTTAACTCACGATGTCTATCTCTTTGCATTGGTTATTTGGAAACTTAGAGCCAGTTTTATGGCCCACTTCTCAATGAATGTTTGGTAATTTTGGAGCACATTTTCAGTATAATCAGTCCTCATCTTATTTCTCCTTGATGGTGATTTTCCCACCTTTATCTTAATGTGTCTTTTGTTGTTGCCTCATTTTTTCTGGATTGAAGAGAGATTTAAAATAACTAAAGTTAAAATAGAGAGATGACTGGAAGGATGGAGAAGAGTGAATAACAGTGTTAAACAGCTGTTACATGATTTGCTCTGAATTATGTTTTATAACATTAGAGGTCACTTTAAGACTGTTTTTGATATAATGCCAGAATGTAGCCCTGTCTCGTGAAAAAAGTGTTGAATAACAGAATCACAATAACATTTCGGGAACCAGAATATTTTACAGAAGGAAGCTATTTAGTACAATTTAGGGGATTTTATTTTATTTTATTTTTTAGAAAGTATTGATTATTGATACTATCTTGTACAGTTTATCATATAAGGACCTTACTGCGTTAGCACTCAGGGCCTGCTTAGGGTTGGAAGCCTAGATGTGTCCCCTTCCTTCCTGACACAGGAATTATGTTTAGAAGCATGCCATGTGACTCTCTCCTCTATTCCCTTGTACTATTAGTACCCTGCCCTGGAAGGCTCTTCCCTCCCTATCCGAATCCTATGTATTGTCCAAAGCTTCACTTGGACCCACCTGCTTCATATGGCCTTTGCAGAATACTCCCCCACTTTCCTCTCCCCTCTGTGAGCTCCTGCAGTGTGTTCAGTACCCTTTGCACTGCACGCATCTGCACACATTCATATTGCTGAGTATAGTTTCATGGATTAGTCTGGAAGACCCCAAGTAGCTCGTGAGTTCTGTGACAGCCAACTAGGTCTTAGTCACACACCCAGCATGATACTGTACAGAGAGTAATTGCTCTAAACACTGCCTTGTGGTTTGCCCAATTCCTGGGACTCACCTAGCTTGTCTTCCCCATTCTCAGGTTCTTTTTGTGCCAGATGCCAACTTTCCTTCCAGTACCTTAAGGTTATCATCATCCAGTCCTGGTGCTACTGTCTCTCCTTCGTCATCAGATGCAGAATATGATAAACTGCCTGTATGTATTTCATTCATGCACTGAAGTTCATAGTTCTCAGCAATGGTTTTGAGTTATTGCAGAATTCTACATGTCATTTTTCACAAGAGTTCATCTGAAACTCTCCTCCCTCGACAAAGAGGTGGGGTTAAGTAATTTGTCATTAGTTGAGAGAAGAAACCTGTTCACATTTAAGGTCTCAAAGGCAGAAATGCATGTCTTATTTATGTAGAAGTATGAAGTTAAACTCTCAATGAGACCAATAATTTATTTGTACTACTTTACTCCTTTTTCTAAAGAATTTGAACCATGAGTCCAATATAAATTCTTTCATTTAAGGTATTTTCTAAAGACACTTGATGAGGCATTTTTATGGGTTCATACATATGTGCTTTTTAAAAATCTTAGTTTGATTTGGGTGATATTTTTGAAGGTTGAAAGACATAAACCTTTTTTTATGTTCACGTTAAATAGGAACAGGTTACTTACAGGGAACGTAGATGGCTTGATTCAAATAAATGAATAATCTTTTGAAAAAGTGCTTCTATTTGATTTTGGAAAATTTTGCTTTCTAAAGGATGCTGACTTAGCAAGAAAGGCCTTAAAACCCATTGAGAGAGTCTTATCATCCACTTCTGAAGAGGACGAGCCAGGCGTGGTAAAATTTTTAAAAATGAATTGTCGCTACTTCACTGATGGAAAGGTATATGGCTATGCCATTTGTTTCCTTTTCTTGGAGTCTATGGAAAACTAAACTAGTTCCAAATTACTGAAGGCAGGCTATTTTAAAATATCTTACCCGAAGTTTCAGCTTTAAGATTTCACAACTGTCCATTAGTTTTCCCCTCTTGGATGCCTGACATTTGACTTACTGAGGGAATAACAATCATCACGTTGAAATGCGATTCTTTGTGACCTTGGGTTTATTACTTATATTTCAGTTCTTAGCCCATAAATTGTTAGAGAGACAGTACAGAATGTGTTTAAGAGCAAATGCTGGAGTCGGGCTCACTGAACTTAAATTCCAACTCTACCACCACTAGCTCTGAGACGATGGGCAAGGTATTTGAGTTTCTTAAGCTTCCATTTTTCCTCATCTATAAAGTAGGAACAATAATAAAATTTAACTCATAGGGTATGCTAATTAAAAGAAAATTCATGTGAAGAGCTAAACACCTAACCTGGAAAATGGTTAAGTTCTCGACCTGTTTGCCGCTAGAAATTCTGGTATGAAAAATGTCTGTTACATCGTGGTTTCAGTTTTTTGGTTGTTGGTGTTTTGTATAAAGAACAAATCTGACATTTTGTGAGCCTCTGAAGAAGGGGTAATATTGATACAAAGCAAATTCCTGTGCTCATAGTAGAGACTTCATGCCAGGTTCAAATGGTAGGAAAATACATTATTGATATGCACTTGAAACTTTTGCAACTAAGACTAAGTAGTGCTGAAAGGCAAAACTTTTTGCCAAGGTGATCACTAAACTCTTTAAGAGTATCAAAATAAATAACTTACCTAGGGCTTCCCTGGTGGTGCAGTGGTTGAGAGTCCGCCTGCCGATGCAGGGGACACGGGTTCGTGCCCCGGTCCGGGAAGATCCCACATGCCACGGAGCGGTTGGTCCCGTGAGCCATGGCCGCTGAGCCTGTGCGTCCGGAGGCTGTGCTCCGCAACGGGAGAGGCCACAACAGTGAGAGGCCCGCGTACCGCAAAAAAAATAAAAATTAAAAAAAATAACTTACCTAAAGGGAGTTATTTATATCCTGCTGTCCCTGGTAGATAACATCCCTGTGGCCAACAGGGTCTACCATATAAACTGACCAAGTTTCAGACTTTAAGTACCCACCAAGCTACTGTTCTTTGCTCTCGGTTTCCATAGTGTGGGTATATTCACTTTTGTCTGCAAAAATTTCATACTCCTATTTGTGTCAGATTTTGCTGAATGTGGGCTTTCTAAGCATCTTAGAGCAAAATATTAGAAGTACAGCCGCTCCCTTAGCACAGTACCAGGCACTTGCTGGACAGGTAGTGAATATGTGCTGAGTGGATTGTAGAGTACCCAGTTCTCAATTTGGAAGGTACCTGGGACAGCCCTTCTCATTTTACAGACAGGGCGTTGGCAAATCTGAGACATACATGTGGAACCCAAGATCCTACCACAATTGTACTATTGCAGCAGCCATGCTAGAACCAGGCTCAGCTGATTGCCACAGCGAGGCAAGCCTGTTTCTCTGCTCAGCACACCGCACCCAACGTTGTATTTCATCAGCCTGTTTCTTCCAGCCCTCGTAGAGGGGATGCAATTGCCCTGTAGGATACCATGGTTCAGAAGGTCAATGGAATGGCAACGTAAGTTCATTAAAGCTGCTAGGGTGGTTGCATCTTGCCTGTAGCGACTCTGTACTGTCTTTTTCTTCAGGGTGTGGTCGGAGGTGTCATGATCGTTACTCCTAACAATATCATGTTTGACCCTCATAAGTCCGATCCCCTGGTCATTGAAAATGGGTGTGAGGAGTACGGCCTCATTTGCCCCATGGAAGAGGTTGTTTCCATCGCGCTCTACAATGACATCTCCCACATGAAGATCAAAGATGCCTTGCCATCGTAAGAGATCTTTCTTTGTTTACCAGAAAAAGGGGTATTGGGAGAATTAAATGCAATTAAAAAGTGAGGGCATTGGCAGGAGTGAGAGATTGTGTAGAGGTGAATTTGAAGGTGGAATATTTGTGCACTAAATTTTAAAAAATAGAAAAAGGAGAGGAAATGGAAATGATAAGGTCAATAAGGAAGAGTGAAACATTCAAATCAAAAAATCATGTAATAATCGTATTTCTTTGGCTTATTTTTCTGAAGAGCAATGCATGTTCTTAATTTATGAAAGAATAAATGAAGTTTCTCTGAAAGACTTTGTCTGATTATCGATAAGAGAATAGTATTTTCTCTTTGGTTTAACTGGTAAACAGATTTACATTCTTCCTCATTCAAATTTTAGGATAGGTATCTTCCCAGCTCGTGTGTTTCCTTAATCCTGTGTGGAGAGAGATTTGCGTGGACATGCAGAGGCACTGCCCCTGTAACCAGAATACCTTAAATGGTGTGCAGAGGCTGTAATAGTAGTTTGTTTTGTCTCTTAAATGTAGATGGATATTACTTTAGTCCTGATTACTTTTGCCTTCTAAAACTGAGTTTTTTGATTTAAAGAAGCTCCCCATGAAGAAAGGGTTTAAGAAAACTCAGAGAATCGATTCACTTGTAGGGATAATCTGACTCTTTCTGTCATTTTCTCAGTGTGCCTATTTCTGTACACTATATATGTGCTAGCAGTAAAACACTTTAGAAACTCTCAGTGATAGCAAGGTAAAGGCAAAGCAGTGGGTCCAACAGAACAAAGGGAAGCTAGCCCCTTGGACTCAGGAAAAGAAGGGAAGGTAACTAGGGAACTAACCCAGACACAGCGTCCCTAGGGGCTTATGCCAGCAGGTTCCCCTGGACTTCTACAGTCCTTAGCATCTGATCCACTAGACCCTTACATGCCCAGCCACTGAAGGAACCACTGGAGCATGGTCACTGGGTAGTTTCCAAGTTCTGGCAGAAGTGCCTAGAGGTTTAGGAGGCAGTGTAGCAGACCAGGCAGTCCTGCAGGATGATGCCTGGGTTTCCCTGGCTCTGCCACTTATGGCTCCATGACCTTCACGAGTGACTGAATCTTGAGCCTCGGTTTTCTCATCTGTAAAATGGAATTAATAGTATTCTTCAGCTTGCAGAGCTGTTACAAGATCTAAAAGCATTGAAATACCAAAACTCTTAGAAAATAGCCTGGTACCTAATAAGTATAGGCTGTTTATTCAAACCTTCAGTTCATATCTGAAACTCTAATCATTGTTCTGTGGGAATCTTTTATTCACGCAGAATGAGGCTTCTAATGCATCTTAGTGCGCGTCTCTTGTGTGGCAAGGATATGAAGATAAGTGGGTCACGGCCCCTGTCCTGCAGTTTACTGGGTGCGACAGGTGGAGAGAGGTGGTAATTGAACAACACTGTAGATACAGACGTGCACACGGCATTCCATGAGAACCATGTGAAGGAGTGTCCAGCTACCTTGGAATCTTAGATGAGAAGGAGGAGAGGGAGTGAAAGAGTCACTTTTGGGAAGAAAGTGTGAACATGAGGTGACAAGAGGAAAGGAGATAAGAGTAGGTAAAGATACAGTTAAGTTTGGAAGTGGATGCACAGGCAGATAGGGGCATTTCTTGCCCAACGATGGCTTCAGTGGAGTAATACTGTTACACATCTTCAGCTTAGGATGTTAAGTATTCTGTTAATAATAGGGAAGGCACATTCTTACAGAAAGATTTCTCTCAATGTGAGATTGTGTTTCATGATCCAGGCCTAATGCTGTAGATGAGGGGGGAGAGAGGAGTTGAGAATTGGCTCCTAATGTGTTGAAATTATTTCAGAATTGTACAGTGATTGCTACCGTGGATGCAGGTATATAAAGACTTCTTAGACTAATGAACAGTATGTGCACCAATGAGCAAAATAGAATGTGGTAGTGGAATCAGTGTGAAATGAACTTGGTATTGACCTCAGAATTCCATCAATTGTTTAAAGTAGTTTAAATTTCATTATTTAAAGTTGTATGGTAAAACAAGAAGTGCAAATTATCTAGCTGCCATGTGCAAATAGTTTTTAAAAGAGTGTGTGTGTGTGTGTGTGTGCGTGTGTAAAATCTCTCCATCCTCACCTTCAGGCTTTATATATTTTGTGTAAGACATTTTGTAACTCCAGCTGCCACGGAGACTAAGAACAGAACGACCGAAAGGATTATTGGTCATTATTAGGTCTCTGGCTGAGTCTAGAAAACATTCATTAACAGCAGAGCCAGTTGACACCACTATGTACTTTGCCCCGACAGAGCTTGACAGTTGTGATGCAGAAAAAGAGATGGCTGAATTAATCCCTGCTTGGATTAGGTAGAACAAGAAGGGAGGGATAGACAAGAAGGTAATGTAGGAGGCTGATTAGAGTGCAGTCGAATGCATTCTTTGTGGGGGTCAAGCTAGCTAGAGAAGGAAGAGATGAGGAAGGGGCTTAGGTGTTCATGGAAGATGGTTTTACTAATTTGCTAGTTAAGTATGTGAAAAGCTGGGCTTCTTTGTTACAGGACTTACTTTGGCCTTTAATATGCCAAATTAAATTTTGGGTCTGAAAATGGAAATTATACTACATTACACTAACTTATTTGACTCTAGGATTGAAGCATCTTTAACATCTCCTGAGATGCTCACGTTGAGCAGAACACTTTTGTATGTGCAGGTTCCTGAAGAACAGAGATACTGTCACAATTGTCTTTTAGCATGTGGTGTTTAGGGGCTCGATGAATGATTATTGAATTGTAATGAATTATGAATTAGAGGCTTTTTAAAGCATTTGTCAGAGCCTAACAATTACATAGGCTTTTATTTTGTATTGGGGAAAGCATGGATGTTCCATGCAAGTGATTTATTCAGTAACTTTGGGGAGACAGTTCAAGTTCAGTAACTTGAACTTCCTGGCACTTTGTTGAGTATTGTCATAATTATTTCAAAGCAAGAAGAATAAAGTATTACCTGAATATGATCTAGCCTTTTTAGAAAATTTATTTCTGAAATCCAAAAATGTTATTTTTAAATAGGGTTTTTATACCTCTGTGTTTTAACCCCCTATAGACACTAGGGTAAGCAGAAATACAGATTTTAAAAAGTGTTTCTTGACAATTTATTTTACACTGTGGAGAGAGCATGTTTAATCAGTATTTTCTGTGTAAATCAGATCTGGGTAGTAGAGCATCTGTTATTAAGGAAGAACAATTAACTGTGTCCCAGTTCAAAATTTTATAGAAATGTAAATTGAATGAGCTCTTACTTATAATAATTAGTATAAATTTCTTAACTCTTTCATTTTATTACAATATCAATTTTACTTTATGGCAATTAGTAACTGATAAAACCTCAAATCTGCATAGTAAAGCATCTGTTATTAAGGAAAAACAATTGACTGTGTCCCAGGTAACTATAAAATTTTAAACTGTAAAATGGAGCAGGTGCTATATATCCACAATAATAGTGGAAATCATCCTCTTGCATCTCCTTCAGGAGTAGAAGGATGTCTTTTATTGGAAGCATCAGATCTTCCAAAATTATGGTTCAGTGTCAGTCATTTTATAGAGCAGTTAAATGAGTAGCTACTCAGTCAATGAGCCATTCAGAATTAAGGTAGTTGGTTTATGTACTATTTTATAAAAAAGGAAAAGCCTTGAATATCTAAGGAATTTTAGTCATAGTACTGAAACAGTCCCTCTCCTTTGTCCTTCATGAAAATCAGAAACATTATTTCATCATTAAAAATCTGGTGGGTGACATCTCCATGTTCATAAATGACCTTAAATACCATTCATTTGCTTCTAATAGGATATTGCGAGCAACTCTCATGGTTCTTTATTTTGCCACTTTTTATAGTTGATTTTATTTTTCATTTTGAAGTCAATTTCTGGATTTCATTTCCTTATTTTAAAGTCCTTTAAACATAAATTTAAGTTGTAGTATATTTATGTTTTGGTTTTTGGCTGGGTTTTGTTTTGTTTTTTGCCTTTCATCCATTTTGTTTTGGTTTTTGTCTTTAACATTCCATGTGCACCCACCATTTTTCCCCCCACAGTGACCTACCTCAGGATCTTTGTCCTCTGTACAGGCCTGGAGAATGGGAAGACCTGGCTTCAGAAAAGGATATCAACCCATTCAGTAAGTTCAAATCTCTCAACAAAGAAAAACGGCAGCAGAATGGAGAGAGAACCATCACTTCAGATTCCAAATCAACAAGACCTTTGGAGAAGTCAACAGAACACACAGAAAAGAAACCTTCAGACAGCTCTGTGTCAGACAAGTTAAAGAAACTGGAATTCTCTGCAGAGGCAATCAAACGGTCTGCCGCAGTAGCTAAAGTCAGCAAGGAACTTTCTGACACTCAGGCTGCGTTTGAATCTATAGCCAAAGAAAATTCTCTCTTAGGAGAAGAAGACGACTTCGTTGACTTGGAAGAACTTTCTTCTCAAAATGATAGTGGAATGGACAAAAGAGACACCTCAAAGGAGTGCCTTTCTCTTGACCCAGCGGAGCTAGGGAAGACTAAATCACAAATAATCGGTTCTACTACGGAAATGCAGGTGCAGTCAGCCCTGAACTTTTCAGAAACAGAGTGTGATGCTGAATTGAAGGGGACCCTAGATTTAGAAACCTGTGAGAAGCAAGATATAATGCCAGAGGTGGACAAGCAGTCTGGTTCCCCAGAAAGCCAGGTGGAAAACACATTGAACATACATGAAGATCTAGATAAAGTTAAACTCATTGAATATTACCTTAATAAGAACAAAGAAGGGTCACAGTTACCTGATAACTTGCAGAAGGCAGAATTAGTTGATGGCAAAAGTATTGAGCCAGTGGGAATAGACATCACTCTTAGTAGTTCTCTTCCCCAGGCAGGTGATCCCCCAATTGAGGGCAATGAACAGCCAGATAAAACCTGGGTGAAAGAGAGAGCACCCCTTCCACTGCAACTAGGCTCTTCTACAGAAGAAAATATGAATAAAGTGTATCCAGACTCCTCTTTGGAACCTACTCTGGACAACAGCTGCCAAGGTGCACAAATGGATAATAAATCTGAAATTCAGTTATGGCTATTAAAGAGAATTCAGGTACCCATTGAAGGTAAGCCATTTTTAATTTCTTTATATTCTGTTGTATAGGCTTATCTTGTTTTATTGTGCTTCACAGATATTGCATTTCTTTTTCTTTTTTTCTTTTTTTTTTTACAAATTGAAGATTGTGGCAACCCTGTGTCAAGCAAGTCTATGGGTACCTTGTGTCCAACAGTATTTGCCCACTTCATGTCTCTGTGTCACATTTTGGTAATTCTTGCAAGATTTCAGACTTCATTTCATTATTATGGTGATCTGTGATCAGTGATCTTTGATATTACTGCTATAGCTCACTGAAGGCTCAGATGATGGTTGGCATTTTTTAGCAATAAGGGATTCTTTAAGATGTACTTTTTTAGACATAATGCTATTGCACACTTAACAGACTACAGTATAGTATAAACATAACTTTTATATGCACTGGGAAACCAAAAAATTTGTGTTACTTACTAGATTGCGATATTCACTTTATTGTGATGGTCTGGAACCAAACCCACAAATATCTCCAAGGTATGCCTGTATAGCTGCCTTCCTAAAACTTGTACATGCAATAGCAAAAGTCGTATAATTATTTGAGAACAGTATTTTCTCAATAGGGTATATATCTTTACATTAGAAGGTTTTAAACTGCATAGGTCCACTTATACACAGATTTTTTTCAATAAATACGAAATACAGTACTACGCCATCCATGGTTGGTTGAATCCATGGAGGGCCAAGTCTAAAGTTATACACAGATTTTTAACTGCACAGGTGTCAGTGCCTCTAAACCCTGTTTTGTTCAGGGCTCAACTGTAATTGGAAAAAATTAGCAATATATGCTATCTATTTTGAACATTAGACTATGACATAGAATTCTATTTCAAAAGTAGTTCGCTTTTTTACATCTTTCAGGTAACTTTCCTTTTTCACTTTGAATTTCTAAATCTAAAGAAGTTTTAAAAGGTTTTTGAAGGTATTTCAGTTCTAAACTGAATTGCGTTATGGTATGGTTGGGTCCTCAGTACTGTTCATTAATATGTATTCTTGTGGGTTGTTACAATTCTCCACCCTTTGCTGTTTTGTGTGTTGGTTTTTATCCTTATTCCTAGTTTGTAGCATCTCATGTGGTGTAGACAAACCTGAAACATCCAAAGCTTTTTCCTTTTGTGCTAAAGAAGATCTGAAAAATTTAATTAGTCCTAATATGATGATGTTGTATGATGTTTATGGCAACTATCACCAATATCGTCAATAATGAGGAAATTTTTTTCATATGTGATTCAGATATACTTCCTTCAAAAGAAGAGAAAAGCAAGACTCCACCTATGTTTCTGTGCATTAAAGTGGGAAAACCAATGAGAAAGTCCTTTGCCACTCACACTGCAGCCATGGTCCAGCAGTATGGCAAACGAAGAAAGCAACCAGAGTACTGGTTTGCTGTTCCTCGGGAGAGGTGAGTGTGAGCTAGAATGGGAAATCTGTTGGTCAAGTAGATTCTACTTGCATCTTGATTTTTAATTTAATCTTGAAATAATTTTATTCTTGAATAATAGGTTTCTCTTAATTGTACATTTTGGAATTTCTAGAAGGATATTATTTCAGTAGCTTTCTGCTAAAGGGTGTTTTCAATATAGCAAATTTGAGATCATCCTAGGTACTGTGTGCCAAACCACTTTCAAAACTTTCTACCCAGTTGAATTTTAAATGAAGGAAGATTGAGATATTCTAAAGTGCCAGTAATTGCAATTGCTATTCTGTTGGGAATAAAGGAATATGATGGAGCAGATCCAAACCCCAAGTGCAATAGAGAGGCATGATTGTAATTTTAAAGTGCCTGTTATTCTGGGGGGACTAAAGATTGCTTTCGCCTTATGGAGAAAAGTATCTGTGACTCAGCAGCGTGAGAAGTGTAACATGAGATCACCTGGGTACGCTCGAGGGGCTATATACCTCTAAAGAGATTTGTGTTTTTAAATTGCCAAAGAAGAAAATTTATTGGTGATGTGACAGTCTAGGATAGCAGGGATAGTGACATAGACATTCTTCAGCAGTAGGTCACTGAAGACATCTTTATAATAGAAATATTTAGGAAATATTATTTTTAGAAAAAATTGTTTTTCTTTTGTATGTAATAGAATAAAATATACTTTCTTTACAAAGGCCTTGCAATTAGTTTTCAAAATTGTTAAATCCACACATTTTTCCTTCTCCTAACTAGTCATCAAGGCATACTTTTTGGCTAACATACCTACCAAGAACAAATACTCACTGAGCTTCCATAAGCATGAATTTTTTTTTTTTTTTAATGAACTTTCCCCCTGATATCTCAGTAGTGAAGAGGTCATTTCATTTATTTATTTGGCTGCACTGTGTGGCTTGTGGGATCTTAGTTCCTCAACCAGGGATTGAACCCGGGCCCACAGCAGTGAAAGCACCGAGCCTTAACCACTGGACCACAAGGGAACTCCAAAGCATGAATTTTTAATAAAGCAAAATTAAATTTCAAGCACGAGCACACCTTCTGGCTGATTAGTACCCAGAATGATAATTCTCATCGAGTTGCCTGATTTTAATAAGTCATAGTTTAATGTGAAGATAATTAATAGGATTTTAATGAACAAATTTGTTAATATTTTTTCTGGCTTAGACACAGACCCATGTTTACATAGACGTTAAACATAATCTGTTTCCTATTTACAAAATACACTCCTGTCCTGTGCTTGCAGCCCCAATGCTATCTCCACGGAACTTTAAACTAGGGACACTGAGGAGATACAAAGAAAATATGTGTCTTTCACATTTCTTCTGTTGAAATATTTTTAAATAATAAATTTCTGAAATCCTGTTAAAATCAGTGTTCTAGAATCAGATGTCATAGATGGACAAACTGATTTTAAAGGTGGGGAAAACAAAGCACTGAAACTTTCAGCCACATTTAGGTTATGTGGATTCCTCATCCGTCAGGAAAACCACCTATCATATGTTTTTTTCTCTGGAGAAATGTACTGTTTATAATATAAGGACATTAGGATTTTTCAATTTTATTATCTTCAATGAGACTTTTGCATACCAAGGAAACTTCTAGAGTAAATTTTTTGCAGTCTCACACGTGTAGTTATTTTACTGTCATTCTTTAACCCAGAATAAGTCTGTAATGCTGAAATAGTACTTCTCTTTGACCTCATACAGAGGTGGTTTTTGTGAGCTTTTTAAAGTAGGTCACTTGTTGAATTCTATTACATTGTGTTTTATAGTGTCCATGATTTATTTGTCTTTGGCTAACAAATAACCTGACATTCTTAGTTTTCTTTCTTAAGCTAATCATTAATTAACCAAAGATTTTTCTGGGAGACATTATCTCACTATGTTAATGATTTTTTGTATAGATGTTAGGAATTTTTTTTCTGTTGTTCCTTTATGTATTTCCATCTCTACCTACCCTTAAGAAAAGCTACATTTTAGTTTAAGATAGGGAAAGATGAAGAAATTCTATAGTTAGCTCCCACCCAGAACTCCAAGTGCACAAGAAATAAAAGTTCATTTTTATTTCCAATTTATGAAATTCTTCAGGACTTTAAGGTCAACAAAGTCCTTAAGGAGCTAGGAAGTGGCGTGCAGTGCTTTTCTCACTCTGATGATAATTTCTGGATTCCCTTGCTACATCAAACTGAGCATTTCTTCTTGCCTTTCTATTTAATGGGTCTTCATATCATTGGAGTTTCAGCAGCAGAGTGAAGTCGCCCTAGCAGTGGCTTTCTTTCTAGGTCATAAGATGCTCTCATAGACCTTCTGTGTGACCGTGTACTCTCATGGGCAGGTCTCTTTGGCTCATGCAATGCACCACAGCTCCTTAATGTTTTCCTGTTGACATAAGTTCACAAACATGTTTCACTATTCCTCTCTATTGTTCCTAATCAACAGCAGATTAGATGATACAGAGAATGGATCAGTGATCTGGAAGACATAATATAGTGGAAATTATCCAATAAGAACAGCAAAAAGAAAAATCTTTAAATGCAGGTAGTTTAAGGGACCTCTGGGACAATATCAAATGCACTAACATTTGCATAATAGGGGTCCCAGAAAAAGAAGAGAGAAAGGGGCAGAAAACTTTTCTGAAGAAATAATGGCTGAAAACTTTCCTAACCTGGGGAAAGAAACAGACATCCAAGTCCAGGAATCACAGAGAGTCCCGAACAAGATGAACCCAAAGAGATACATACCAAGACATAATTAACAAGGCAGAAGTTAAAGAGAATTTTGAAGACAGCAAGAGAAAAACAACTAGTCACATACAAGGGAAGCCCCATAAGATATTAGCTGATTTTTCAACAGAAACTTTGCAGGCCACGGTGTGTGGCAGGATATATTTAAAGTGTAGAAAGGAAATATACTTAAAATCAAGAATACTCTACCTGGCAAGTTTATCAATCAGAATTGAAGGAGAGATACAGAGCGAACAAGCAAAAACTAAAGGAGCTCATCACTACTGAACTAACAGGTCTTACAAGAAGTGTTAAAAGGTCTTCTTTAAATGGAAAAGATAAGACCATAACTAGAAATAAAAATATATATGAAAGAAAAAAATCGTACTGATAAAAGCAAATATATAGTAAAGTCAGTGGATTAACCACTTAAAAAGCTTCTGTGAAGGTTAAAAGACAAAAGGAGTAAAATCAACTATAACTACAATAAATGGTTAAAGTATACACAAAATAAAAGGTAAAATAGGATGTCATAAAACATAATACATGGAGGGGAGTGGTAAAAATGTAGTGCTTTTGGGATATGTTTGAACTTACATGACTATCAGCTTAAAACAAACTATATATATATATATATATACACACGTATATGTACATGTGTGTATGCATATGTATATATATGTATGTACATGTACATACACACACATGTCAATATGTATGAACCTCATGGTAACCATAAACAAAAACCTACAATAGATACAAGCAAATAAAGTGAAAGGAACCCAAACATAACATTAAAGAAAATTACTGAACCACAAGGGAAGAGACCAAGAGAAGAAGAAAGGGACAAAAGAACTACAAAAACAACCAGAAAACAATGAACCAAATGGCAATAAGTACACACCTATCAATAATCACTTAAATATAAATGCAGTAAATGTTTCAATCATGAGACACAGGGTGGCTGAGTAGATAAAACAAGACCTGTCTATATGCTGCATACAAAAGACTCACTTCAGCTGAAAAGTTTTTCCTCTAAGATCGGGAACAAGGCGGGGTTACCCACTCTTGCCACTTTTATTCAACATAGTATTGGAAGTCCTAACTACAGCAATCAGACAAGAAAAAGAAAAGTCATCCAGAAAGTAAGAAGTAAAACTGTCACTATTTGTAGATAACACAATATCATTATAGAAAACCCTAAAGAGTCCAACAACAACAACAAAAAAACCTCTTAGAACTAATAAATGATTCAGTAAGTTTCAGAATACAAAAATCAATATACAAAAATCAGTTGTTTCTGTATGCTAATAATGAATTATCAGAAAGAAATTAAGAGAATAATTCCAATTACAATTGTGTCAAAGAGAATAAAATGCCTAGGAATAAATTTAACCAAGGAGGTAAAAGACCTAAATGCTGAAAACTATAAGACACTGACGAAAGAAATCAAGGAAGACACAAATAAATGGAAAGCTATCCCATGCTCATGGATTGGAATAATATTGTTAAAATGTCCATACCACAGGTTCAATGCAATACCTATCAAAATTCCAATGGTGTTTTTCATAGAGATAGAACAAATAATCCTAAAATTTGTATGGTACCACAAAACCCCCCAAATAATCAAAGCAATCTTGAGAAAGGAGAGCAAAGCTGGAGGCATCATACTCCCTGATTTCAAACTATAATACAAAGCTATAGTAATCAAAGCAGTATGATACTGGCACCAAACATACATAGATCAATGGAACAGAATGGAGAGCACCAAAATAAACCCACATTTTTATGGTCAATTAATTTACAAAAGAGGAGGCAAGAATCTGGGGGCAAAGACAGTCTCTTCAATAAATGGCACTGGGAAAACTGGACCACTTTCTTACACCACATACAAAAATAAAATAGATTAAAGATGTAAATGTAAGACCCGAAACCATAAAACTCGTTGAAGAAAACATAGGCAATAGCTCTTTGACATCGGTCTCAGCAGTATTGTTTTGGATATGTCTCCTTGGGCAAGGGCAACAGAAGCAAAAATAAACAAATAGGACTACATCAGACTAAAAAGGTTTTGCACAGTGAAGGAAATGATCAACAAAATGAAAAAGCAACCTACTGAAAGGGAGAAGATATTTGCAAATTATATGTCTGATAAGGGATTAATATCCAAAACACATGAAGAACTCAAATATAAAGAACTCATACAACTCAGTATCAAAAAAAATTTCAGTTAAAAAGTGGGCAGAGG